GCTGTGGGTTTCCTTAACAACCCCCTCAGCTCCCAGCTGGCCATCAACACCGCCACCGTCTACATGCACCGATTCTACATGGTGCAGTCCTTCACCCAGTTCCACCGATTTGTGAGTGTGCTGGGGCCTGATGGGGTGGGGGGCACTGGGAACCCCCCAGCTCTGCTCCTGCTGCTGCCTGGCAGCTGGCTCAGGGGCACGGAGGTGGGACCGACCTTGGGGAGGGGCTGGGAAAGGGGAAGCCTGGGTCAGAGCTGCCAGGAGTCCCCAGGGACCCTTTTCCCACCTTCAGCTGGTGTTGGGACTCACACAGGCTGCTTTGTTTCCTAAAGGGACATTTGTGGCAGACCTGAGAATCAGCCTAATTTATCTGCTCGCATCTTGAGCTTCCCATCTTTAAACAAATAACGTGTTTAGCTTTCTCTGCAGACGATGGCACCAGTGGCTCTGCTTTTGGCATCCAAGGTGGAAGAGCAAAAGCGTGCCTCACAGGAGATCATCAAGGCAGCACATTCCTGCCTGCATCCCCTGGAACCTCCTCTAGAGCCCGAGAGTGAGGTCAGAGTCAGGAGGGCGGAGCTGGGCTCTGATGGGAGGAGCACAGGGACAGGGCATGGGAGTGGTGGCAGCCTGCTGCATCCTGACCCTACAGACAGCCTGTCTGAGCTGGGACTGAGCAGCCAGCCCTGCCCTGCCGAGAAGGGGCAGCGTGATCCAGGAAAGCTGCAGGAAAAACACAAGCAAGAAGCAGCTAATTCCTGTGCTGCCTGTTGAGCCGCCCCAGGCGGTGCCAGGTTTGAGGCCTGTGAGGGCTGCTGTGGGTCCTGATGCAGCCACCCCCAGCAGAGCAGCAGCAGGGGAACAGGGCCACCCCAACACTCTGCTGCCTCTGGTCTGGCAGGGAGTGTGTGCCAGTCCCCCCAGTGCCATCAGCAGAGATTCAGAGATTCCTTTGCTCTTCCTGCCTCCCTGAGCAAAGCAAGGGGAGAGAGAAATGGTGCAGGTTTCACCAGAGTGCCTGCCTGGGAGTAACTTGCCCATCCTCTCCCCTCCAGGCTTTCCTGCAGCAAGGCTGAGACCTGGTGGCTCTGGAGTCAGTCATCCTGGAGAGCCTGGGTGAGTTTTCCAAAGTGGATGGGCTATCACACCAATCCCAGCCCCCAAGAGAGTTCCACAGAGCAGAGAGCCTGACTGCACAATCTTCACCACAGCTGGAAAGCAGAAGTACAGATGCCTGGTGGAGAGCCAGAGTCCAGGCAACAAACTCTTTTTCACACCTGCTGCTTCTGTTTTCCCTTTATCATCAGTTTCCCAGGTATAACTGGGCTCAGTTTCCATGCTCAGAGGAATTAACAGCGTTGAAGTGGGGCTTGTCTCTTCCCCCCACAACAGGTTCTCAACCAGTCACTGTCCCCGCTGGGCTCTTGAACTCTTATCGTGCTCTGGTCCTGTGGCCGGGGAGCAGTTTGTACTGAGAGGTTTCTCACGAAACCTAGGTTGAAAGTTACTGTTCTGATCAGGTAGCTGAAGATGAGGAAAAAAGAACAGCAAGAGTTTGGGGGACTTTTTGAAAGAAGAAACTGGAGGCTACGCATAGGCCCGTGGACATTGGGTTCACTTTCCTGTTCCTTCCCAAAAGACACTGTTAACAGCTGGACTTACTGGCACCTGCTCCACTTCAGGGGCAGTTTGCAGGTGCTCTCTTCCTGTTTGCCTCTGGGCAGAGAGCAGGGCCTGCAGGAGGGAAGGGGAGAAGGGCTTGTCCCCCAGGAGCAGGACACAGCAGACTCACAGACCTGCCAGGCTGTGCTGCTGGTTTTCTGATGGCTGCACGTCTGTGTTCTTCCAGGTTTTGAGATCCTCATTGACCACCCTCATACCCACGTGGTGAAGTGTGTGCAGCTCGTGCAAGGTAAGCTCTGCCGGCTGCTCACAGCTTCTCCTCCGTGTCACCTCAGTGTGGCAGAGAAGGGCTGTGAAAATGCATCATGGTGTTTATCTGGGCCTGTCCAAGAGCCCACCTGCAGGCAGGTTGTGAGGGACCCAGACTGTTCCTCCCACGAACACAGGATGTCCCTTAGGTCAGCAGTCATCACTTATCTAAAATGGCTGCTCTGTCAGGCACTGAAACCCTCTCCTGCGTGCCTGCCTCCTCTGCCACGAAACAGCAACTCGGCCTCCATGAGCAGCACCAGCCCCAGCAGGAGCCGTGGCGGGAAAACCGCAACAGTGTTGCGAGCAGCGAGGCAGCAGGATGGAAAGTCCTGCGGGACTGGCTGGGAACACGCAGCAACAAGAGACTGGCCGGCCGGGGATGATGGTGCAAGTCCTCGGGACTCATAAAGCACCTGCCTGCCTGCTGCTTTGCTGCTCCTTGGAGGGACAGTGAAGCTGCTGCTGCTTGGCTTTTGGGGGTTTGCCTGCTCTTTGGGAGTCCCTGCCCACCTGCGGTCGCTGCCCGCCTTCTGATGGGTGTTTGGGTGCCGATGGGGCTCGGCAACCTTCATGAGCAGTCTGGAGCCTAAAATGGGGCTTTGAGCCCTCGACATGAGTGTTTCAGCTCTCAGAATGAGGCTTTGAGCCCTCCAAATTGCAGACTAACTTCTAAAAATTGGGCTTTGGAAGCTCAACATGAGTGTTTGGTTCTAAAAATGAGCCTGTGGACCCTAGAAAGGCCTAGAAAGGAGACATTCAACCCTATAATCCAAGCTTTGGACTCTCAAAAGGAGGCTTGGAGCCCTGACATAGGCATTTGTTGCATCAGAAGGAGGGTTTCTAATCTGCAGAGGTGGCTTTCACACTAAAAGTCTGGCTGGACTTTCGAAGCGCCACTTGGGAGCCCAAAGATGTGCACTGGGAAACTGAAAACGGGGGTTTGGACACTAAACTGGGGACACAGCCAAAGAAACAGAGCATTGGGACCCTAAAAATGAGGCTGTGGAGCCTGAAAAGAACAAGTTTAGAGACTGAAATAAGGAGATGATGCCTGAAAAGGAGGCTTTGGTCCTCCGATTGAGGCCTTGGGCTCTAACTAGGATGCTGGGCTAGATGCTCTCCCTGACGCTTTGGACAGAGCGTGCAGCAGAGGGGAACCCAGTGGTTCCTCTGTGGCCCCCTGAAATGAAGCTTTGCTGCTGCATCCAGGACTGTGGGCTTGCAAGTGAGGCTTGGAGCTCTAGAAGAGGGTTTGAGGCCCATTCAGGGGGAGTCTGGGCTGTCTAAAGGAGGGTTTGGGCCCAGGAATAGGGCTTTGGGATTGAGAATGAGGCTGTGAAGCCTGAGATGAGGGTCTGCGCCCTGAAATGACACATTTGCACCACTCTCAGAAGGGGTGTTGGAGGCTTCGCCTGAGGCTTTGGAGATGAAGGAACTGAGGCTGTGTTGGGTGAGTGAGGAGCTGGGAGCCCCAAAGCCTCCTTAGTGCGGGCTGAGTCTCTGGCTCCCCTGAGGGAGCCCTGCCCTCCCGGGGTGGTAGCAAGTGGAGGCAGTGCCTTGGGGGCTTTGGAAATCTCCCCCCATGGCTAAGGGCCGCGGCATTACCTGACCCCCCCTCCAGTCCCTGCAGAGGGCTGAGCAAGACAGAGCTAGATCACAGTCTGTCCTGGCAGGTCTTTCTAGCTGTGACTGCAGGCTGTGGGCACCCAACCTCTGTGCCAGAGGAGCCCCAGGGCAGTCCCACAGTTATGTCACTGGAGGGAAGGAGATTTCCTCTTCTGATGCTGGGATAGGGAACTTGGTGTTTGCTGGGTGGGTGCCCAGAGCAGCAGGAGAGCAGAGGGGCACTGGGTGGGGCTCCGTGCTGTGGCCTGGGGCGCTCTGCCTTGCCCAGCTGTCTTTGCCAGCCTCCCGCGCCCTGCGCTGCTTCCAGGGCTGGCCACAAAGCCAGCGAGCTCGTTGGGCTGGAGCATGGAGCCGGGCTGAGCTCCATGGAGTCCTTTCTCCTGGCAGCTCCGGGCAGGCTTTGTCTTGGGCCAGTGTGGTCCAGGCACCGAGGAAATGTCTGCCATATGCTTTGGAACAGAGGGGAGTTTTGGGAAGCAGGCCATCTGCACTAGATTCAGCAGGTGATGGGAAACGGGGCTCTTCATGGCATGTAGCACTCGCATCCCAGCGTTTGCCAAGAATCCCTCAGCGCAGGCACAACAGAGGGGGATCCCTCCTAGGAACCCATCTTGAAAGGGATTCCCTGATGGATCAGTCATGGGCTTGGACGGAACCTGCACTGTCCTCCTGCACCCTCTTTGCCAGAGCCACGCTGAGGCTTTACCTCTCTTTAATGTTGGCAGTGCTGTCCAGCCTCAAGGAAGCCTGCCAGGCCAGAAGACAGGAATTTTTGGGAAAGAATCCAGGTGCTGAGCAATCTTTCAGGGGCCCTCAAGTGGGAGAGAAGCCCTGCAAGTAGGGGAATGCAAGTGGTGCCTGTGCTGGAGAAGAGAGAGCAAGGTTCAGGTGTCTCCTGGGAGGGCCTGACTTCATCCCCCCAGGGTGTGGGTGTGGGGCTGAGGAAGAGCTGGAGCTGGCCCTGCCTGCCACAGGGAGGGTTTTGGTCCCTGTTGCTCAAAGGAGCGAGTGATCACATTGTTGTGCTCCCCATGTGTCTCCCTCTGGCCTCAGGAGGTCTGTTCAGTGGGACAACCTGTCGCAATGGCTCAGGGAGCCTCTGTGCAGCAGCGCTGGGAAGTGGCACAGAGTGAAGGGGGCGAGCACAGAAGAAACTGCACACATGGGAAGGAGGCCAAGGAAGGGAGGCAAACGTGTGACACC